TTTCCTGGATCAGCCAGCCTCCTCATTCTCCCAAGGAGCAGCAGCTGGTGGGTCCAGACCTTCAGGTTAGCAGCTCGCTGCTTAACAACTGTGGCCCCAAGGGAAAAGGTGAAGGGCTGCAGAGATGGACCCAGGGTGTTACCCTCTGGCTGAGAACCCAGGGGTAGGAGGTTGATGGAGGAGCGAGACCCAGAGGGGTGGGTTTCAGAATGTCCGGTCTGCATCCTCTCCAAAGACAGCCTCCCGTGGCTGCTCGGTGGATCCCTTACAGAGCAGAACTCCTCCCAAGGCTGTGCTCCGTTTTCATTGACGCAGAGCCGACCCCCAGGTCTTTCCTCCGCGGCACTGCTGGCTCGGTCCAACATCACACCAAGTGTGCCCATGAGGGGCCTGGGTCTTCTCGACCACCTAAAAACATCTGAAAACAGACTCATGGGGGAGGGGGTGGCCTGCTACTTCTGGATCAGACAATAGGGTGCCCCCCCCAAAGCAGGCTGTGCTTCGTGGACGTGTGTCAGTGTGTCCTGGTGACAAAAATCGGGCCCCCGACTATTTTCCAGAGACCCAAATACCATCTTCCGAGGGAACTCCCTGACTTCCAAGTGCATCGATGAGACAATGAAGCTGGCAGGGATGCACTACCTCCATGACACCCTGAAGCCCATCATCGAGGAGGTGAGCCCCCGGCAGACCCCCGCGGCCAGCGCCCGGGCCCTCGCAATAGCCCTGAAGAGGGAGCCAAGCTTCCCTGCCCTGGGAGAGCTCTTCTGCTCATTGGGAATGCTAACACACATAGGGAAGCCTGCAGAGGCCTACCGCTTCACCGAGAGCGACCACTTTAACTCCAGCCCTCTTGTTGATTTCACCCCAGGAACCCTGTCTTCCTTGCTTGTATAGAGAGGTGCCTTGATTGATATTCCATTGCCCGCTGCATTTATTTTTAATTAAAAAAAGAAAACCTTAATCATCCCCTCATCCACCTAGAAACCGCAGGCCATGCAAGGATGAGGTGGTTCTTCGCGATGATGTCCTGGTCCCCCACCTTCCTACAGCCACGAAGGACTAGTTTTCTGTTTTCTCTAGAGCCCTCCTGCAGCTCCGAGAGCCTGTCTCGTTATCGCTCCCCTGCAGTCGCCCCCCCCTTCCTTCCAGACTGGACCTTGAGTAGCACATGGAAACCACACGCTTCCGCCCCAAATGACTCAGCGCTTTCTACCCTAACCTGTTACAAGTGATACCTTGTCAGGCCCTGTCCCCACCCACCCCAAGGACCGTTTCATAAAAAACAGGTAAATGAGAGAGAAACTTTTAAATAGCATTCAGGTTTGAGCTGTGAACCAAAAACATAATAATAATAATCAAAATAGGGGAAGAAATCATGTTCGCGTTTTGCAGTCAGAAATCGTTATTCCAGCCTGATGAAACGCAATGCCCGGTGACCCCTCCGAGAAAACGGTCTTCAGAAAGCTGCTCTAGACCGAATCCTGATGGCACACTGTGCGCATGCCCGCCATCTCCTGCACTGCTACCCACGGACTCGCCCCTCCAGAGACCCTGCATGCTTGCCCTTCCAGCTGGTGCAGCTGCAGCCAGGAGGAGCTCATTCCTTACCCCACAGGGTGCTGGGGCTGGGTCTGAGTCCCCACTGCCTCCTGGCTCCCCAGTTCCCGGCTTCTGTGTCCACCGACAGGGCTGCAGAAGCCCTCGTTCGGAGCTGTTCTCTGAATCCAGCTCAGGATACCTGAGCTCAGTGAGGCCTGCTGCCCCGGCCCCCGCTCTCCTCCTGTGCCCTGGGCCCTGCCCGCTCTCATCCTTGTTCTCAATGCTCTTTCCAGATATGCCAAAGCCACAAGTCTTGTGAAATTGACCCCGTGAAGTTAAAAGATGGCGAAAACCTCGAAAACAACATGGTAAGAACTTCCCCTGTTCCGTTCATGGGCATGTTTCCACCACCAGCCACCTGCTCTTGAGGTTTTTCAGTATCGCAGCTCCATGGGGCGTCTCTAGGAGCCCTGGTGGCATAGTGGTTATGCCTTGGCTAACGCCAGGTCTGCCGTTCAAAACCACCAGTCACGGGGGAAAGACAAGGCTTTCTACTCCCATAAAGAGGTATAGTCTCAGAGACCCACAGGGGCAGTTCTACCCTGTCTTACAGGGTTGCTAGGAGTCAGTATCAACTCAATGGCAGGGATTAGTTGGTGGAGCGAGGGCATCTCTGACCATAAGCTTTCAGGACGGGGCTGGGAAGCAGGCTGAGTAGGAGAGTCTGGAATGGAGAGGTTTGTAAGTACTGTCTGCCTTTAGTGTAGGCCGTTGTGGTTCAGCACATATGAAGCTGTCGGTCCAGGCGGACGACCACCTATGGATCCACACCAGCCATGGCTCTCTGTTTGTTCACGTCCCTGCTCAGCTCCACTGCCCACCGGGCTTCTTGGACTCTCCTGCTCTTTCCCTCCCGTCCTGGACTTCCTGGGAGTCCTCTCATTAGAGATGGCCTCCCATGCCTTTTCAGGCTGCCTCGCCTGGCCTTGAACCTGCACCTCAGCAAGCTGACATGCCCAGAACTTGAGTACCACATGATGCCCCTGGGAGCTAGGTTCTGCAAGGGGGAAAAGCAAACCTCCCTGATTTTGACACTTCACCTTAACGTGTTCGTCTTTTCCTGTGATTTCCTCACGTCAGGTCATGCCTGAGGCAAAGTGCCTGCTTTCAGGAAGCCATATGCTTTCTCTTTTTTTCAGTTTTTAAAATTTTTTATTCATTTAGTAGTTGAGAATAATCTTAGGATAGTAATGTCACGTAATCTTCACTCTTTCAGTGTTTTCATTTAACAACACATAACTATAATTTTTTTTTCTTTTTTTGTTACATCATTTTATTGGGGCTCGTACAACTCTTATCACAATCCATACACCCATCCATGTGTCAAGCACACTTGTACACCTGCTGCCATCACCATTCTCAAAACATTCTCCCTCTACTTGAGCCCCCAGTATCAGCTCCTCATTTATCCCCTCCTTCCCACCCCCCTCCCTCATGAACCCTTGATAATTTATAAATTATTATTATTTTCACCCACTTTTCTGTTCTGTCCCTGGTGGGGGGTGCTTATATGTAGATCCTTATAATCGGTTCCCCCTTTCTACTCTACCTTCCCTCCACTCTCCCGGTATCCCCACTCTCGGCACTGGTCCTGAAGGGATCATCTGCCCTGGATTCCCTGTGTTTCCAGCTCTTATCTATACCAGTGTACATCCTCTTGTCTAGTCGGATTTGTAAGATAGAATTGGGATCATGTTAGTGTGGGGGGTAGAGAAGCATTAAAGAATTAGAGAAAAGTTGTGTGTTTCATCTTTGCTACACTGCACCCTGACTGGTTTGTCTTCTACCCGGGAACCTTCTGTAAGGGGATGTCCAGTTGCCTACAGATGGGCTTTGGGTCTCCACTCTGCACTCCCCCTCCTTCACAATGGTAGGGTTTTTGCGTTCTTTGATGCCTGATACCTGATCCCATCGACACCTCATGATCACACAGGCTGGTGTGCTTCTTCCATGTGGACTTTGTTGCTTCTCAGTTAGATGGCCACTTATTTATCTTCAAACCTTTAAGACCCCAGAGGCTATATATTTTGATAGTCGGGCACCATCAGCTTTCTTCACCACATTTACTTATGCACCCACTTTGTCTTCAGTGATCCTGTTGGGAATGTGAGGCTCATGGAATGCCAATTTACTAGAACAAAGTGTTCTTCTTTTGTACTAGAACAAAGTGTTCTTGCATTGAGGGAATACTTGAGTGGAGGCCCAGTGTCCATCTGCTACCTTAATACTAAACCCAAAAACATAGATCCATTTCCCCATCACATATATAAATATATTTACAGATGTACATGGCTATATTTAGACCTCTATCAATGCCCTTTGCCTCCTAGTTCTTTCCTCTATTTCCTTTTACTTCAGGAAGCTATATTTTAATGGGTTTTAATTCCATACTCTATGGAATTGTGGTAGAGAAGAAGGAGACAGTGGTGTTTTTGTTTGTTTTGTTTTATTTCTTCTCTATTCCCCAGAACACCAAGGAACAATTAGTTTCAGTGCTATATAGCATTATAATTTTTAGGATGTGTTTTAAGAGGAGATGGGTATTAGGAAGCATGTCTTCTATACAGCAAGCTGTACAGAAAGGTCTGAAGTGGTTAAGCGTTAAGCGCTCGTTGAAAGCACCCTGGAAGAAAGGCCTGGTGGTCCGCTTCTGAAACATCAGCCGCTGAAAGCTCGATCAAGCGCAGTTCTGCTCTGACACACATGGGCCGCCGTGAGTTGGCGCGGACTCAATGGCAACAGTGTCAACATTCATTGATAAAATGAATCTGGGGTGGAGGTCAGGAAGGAGAGAGGAAGTCTGGCCCAGGGTGTGGAGGAAGGGAACAATGGGCTAAGTGTCTGAGAAGGGTTAGAGCTGGGTATACCCTGGACAGAGAGGAGGCAGGGAGGGGCTGGGCCTTAGCTGGCCTCGTGAGAGGGTGGAAAGTTGGGCTTTGCTCCTAAAGGCGAGAAGCAGCAGAAAACTCAAGGCAGGGCAGTCACTCGCCTGTGAGGAAGCTCTCTCTGGGGACTGCATGGGCAACTTTGGGCATGGATGTATGGCTGGGTACCCACGGATTATCCTGAGAAGACTGATTAGGGAATTCAGAGACCATGGAGTCGGCCCAGTGAGGCCCAATCAGGGCCCGCTAGAAGTTGAAGCCCTCCTCCATGTCTTCCTCTCTCTGTTCCCCTACGTCCCTTTCCATCATGCTACCTTCTCTTCTTTTTCCACCTCCATCAATCCATTCCCCATTGCTCTATCCACTCATCACTCTGACCTTCCATCATCCATCCATCCATCAATCCATCGTCCATCATTCCTTCATTCCACCCTTCCTTCCTTCATTCCATCCACCATCTATTCATCCATCCATCATTCCTTCATTGCAGCCATCATCCATCCTTCCATCCATCCATCCATCCATCAATCCATCGTCTATTCATCCAGCCAGCTGCCCCCCGGCAATGCTTCCTTTGTACCTCCCGTGTGCCAGCCGCTGTTTGGGAACTTGGGAGACAGTCTTGAACAAGAGACAAAACTCTCCTTCCATTCCAGTGGAACGGGCTGCAAAGAATTGTGTGGTGTGTCAGAAATGGACCAGCACTATCGAGAGAAGAGGCCCCAGTGGTGGATTATACATTGGCCTACTAACAGCAAGGTCATGCGTTCAAACTCACTGGCCATTTCAAGAGAGATCGGGTCGCTGTGAGTCAGAACTGACTTCATGGCAGGGATGTTTGCTTGTTGTTGTTGTTCTGATGGGGAGAAATAAAACAAGCAGGGTCTCAGGTCACCAGGGAAGGTGGTCTCCCCGAGAAGGTGACATTTGAGAAAGTGGCCTCCATGGAAAAGACCTGCTGGGCGTGCTCTGTCAGCATCCCTGGCCTAGAGTCTGGCCACTGGTCTGCACCTGCCCAGTGTCTAGGTCTGCTCTGAGAGTGGGTCCCTCAGCCCCCAGATACCCCAGCTGGGGGCTGCACTCCAGGGCAAAGCACAGATCCCGGCTGTACCCTCTGCCTCCCAGCGTTGGCCGGGCCTGCATGACATATCCCCCCACTGTCACAGGAGAACCTGAGGCAGTATGTGGACCGCATCTTCACTGGGATCTCCAAGTCTGGGGTGAGCTGCCCCACTGTCATGTGCGATATTTTCTTCTCCCTGAGGGAGTCGGCCGCCAAGCGCTTCCAAGGTGAGTCGCTCCTCCTCAGCATATGCTTACCGGTGCTAGAAATAACCACAGCCCCTCACTCGGGAATTATCCTCCCACCTGCCATGTGCCTCACAGCCTTTGGGCTGGCTTCAAAGCAAAACCAGAAACGGGGGCATTTTAGAGTCTGCACGGCAACATCAAACAAAAACCGTTTTAACCCATAGCTTGCTGCAATGGGCCTCCAGGTGGTGTCAGCACCGACAAGCCCTCGCTGGCCATTCCTCCGTGGTTACGTTCCTGGTGTGTTTTTCTGTTTCTGTTTTGTTTCGTTTTGTTTGCTACCAGTCATTAGCTTCTCAGCGAATGTGTTCCGTCTCGTCTGTCCTGTCGTCTTCTAGTGGGTGAGCTTTCCCAATGCCAGGGCCTCCAGCCACCTCAGGACGGTCTTCCGGGCAGAGACTCCGGATGTGGCAACCAGGGGACGCACTTGGCTGCTGACTGAAAGGATTAGAGGTTCAAGTCCACCCGGAGGGGCCTCGAAAGAAAGGCCTGGCGATCTTATTCCAAACAATCAGCCCCTGAAAACCTTGGGGAGCAGAGCCCTGCCCTGATACACCCGAGGGCCGCCCCGCGTCACTCTGAGTCAGCGCGGCGGCCATTGCGTGTGAGCATTTCTGAATGCCGGTGCTACCCCTCTGGAGAACATGCACCGCCCCCTAAAATTTTCCCCGCTTATTTTTTTTCCTTGTAGTGAGTTGTGAGGCATTGGCCCATGCTGTGGACATAGCAAGCCTTTTCCCCTGCGTCCAACCAAATAGACACCTGCACGAGAGTGTTGGGGAAGTATGTGGGGCAGGGGAAGTGAGGCCTGTCCCGGAGATCTGAGTGCAGTTCTGTAGAACACCTGCTTTGTTCTCTGTGCTGGGTGCTACAGGGTGTCGCCCTCAACCACCCTGCACAGAGTGTCCCGGGAGCCAGGCCCGGCAAAGTCCTTGCTTGGGCTGGAGGAGCAGGGTTTGTCATGACTGTGATGACCAGGGACCGGGGCACAGTCCACGCACAGTCAGAGGAGTGCTTGGAGGCCAGAGTCTCACAGGCCGAGGCCAGAGAATGGCTTCGAGAGGAGAGCAGTGGCCCCCTCCCTCGCCTCCCCCTGCAGGGCGAGACCATGGGACAATTCCACTCTGTCCCTCCCCAGATTGGCCTGAGGGATGGAGTGGATTATATCAACCTGACCCTGGAGAACCTTTGCGCTCACGTTAGTTGCAAACTAGACAGGTCAAGAAGGGGAACAAGAACCATAGGAGGTCCCCACACCTTAGAACAGTCAACCTTGGGAGGTCAAAAGGGCAGCATGGCTCCAAGGACCAAGTGCAGAAGGGTGCAGAAAGGAGGAAGGATGGAAAAAAGAAACAGGGGAGGGATGGGAGGTTGTGAGGATCGCAGTCAAGGAGATGAAACACAAGGTGCGGAAATCATCAAATGGAAAACTGCTCTGCTCTATAAACCTTAGCCAATTTGCAATGAAAAGTTTTTGTTGTTTTTATTAAGTCATCATTCAGAACAATCCCTGGGGTCCAGACAGGGACAGTGGTCTTCCAAACCCCAGGCCCTTTTGTCCACACCCGCTGGAAACATCAGCTTTCCGTCTCCCCCCCACCGCTGCTGGGGGCCTGGTTGTCTGCAGGCTGAGACACTCCTGAGCTGGCCTGTTAGGAGCAGGGGACAGGCCACTTTCAGTCTTCTCGGAAGGACAATTCCCAGATGCCTCGGAGCAGGCCGTCAACCCTATTTTTGGAATACAATGATAAAAAATGAGACATATTCTCACATCCTAGATGTGAGTAGATGATCACAGAATGGGCAGACCTCCCCTGTCCCACCATTAGAGCTGAGTGAATGGATCAAATGCCTGCTTATAGCCCCAGATCCCCAACGGAGGCTGTGCACGAGACACCAAACCCTGCCCCAAAGGAAACAATTTCTTCTATCGCGGTCAGAGTGGGAGAGTGGGGAGGGCTCGGGAACTGCAGACATTGGGCTGAAGCATTCTGTCCAGAGGTGTTCCCAGATAGAAACGTCACGCACACACACACACCCCACACACCCTCTGCCCCTCCCTCCCCCCTGCGCCCCCCAGAAGCCAGGAGAAATGGCCCTTTCCTTTTTCCCGGTTGCAGATGACCTGGATGTGAGGTACACTGCAGTGAGCAGCTTCATTTTCTTGAGGTTCTTCGCGCCTGCCATCCTCTCCCCCAACCTCTTCCAGCTCACCCCTCACCACACGGTAAGTGAGCAGGGGAGCCCCACTCCCGTGCTGTCAGAGTTTTCGTGAGTTAGCAGCCGATCTTGGACTCGGCGCCAGCTTCCCAGAGCACTGTGCTGACTAGTGGAAGCTGCGGCCGTGTGCTTGGGGCTGTTGGGTTGTTAAAAAAAAAGCAACATAAACACACTTTGTACCTGTGACTTTCTTCATCCACATGCAGGTTTTGCCGGCATTTTACTTAAGCACTGCAGCTTGCATAACTATTCATTTGGAAGGGTACAAATTGTATGAAAAACATATTTGGATAACTTGGCCGAGGTTTTTTTAACCAGTAGGGATTTTTT